ATTCCCTGAAATTATAGAATATTCTTGAGCTCTGAATAAACTACAAAAACTTGTTTTTGTTGAACACAACAACTCTTTTAACCTTAATGAAAGCAGTTTTCTTGAATATCTTGTATGGGGCTCCTGTCAGTTTTAGCTTCTTCACAACCTGGCTGGTCTTGTCCATTTCTGCAAACAAAATATATATAAAGGGAGTGTACATTAATATCCCTTTAAGGAATAAAACCGAATCATTAATTTTGTTTCTTAATCTTGATTATTAAAATATATTTTAGTATTCAGTATTCACCTAGAACTACTCCAGTAGCAACTATTATAATTTAGTATTCAGTATTCACCTAGAACTACTCCAGTAGCAACTATTATATTTTAGTATTTAGTATATTCACCTAGAACTACTCCGGTAGCAACTATTATAATTTAGTATTCAGTATTCACCTAGAACTACTCCAGTAGCAACTATTATATTTTAGTATTCAGTATTCACCTAGAACTACTCCAGTAGCAACTATTATATTTTAGTATTTAGTATATTCACCTAGAACTACTCCAGTAGCAACTATTATAATTTAGTATTCAGTATTCACCTAGAACTACTCCAGTAGCAACTATTCTGAAGTTTTCTTGTTTTTCTGCCAAAGACTGGACAGCCATCATACCTGTTCCCTAAATAATTCACATTTTTTCCAGGATAAATCTGCATTTGGATAAGACGCAATATTGGATATGACATTTTATTAAAATATGGCTCAATTTGGTAAATTCAGTTATCTAAGATAATTCAAAATATAGAGACTGTACCTGTGGGGTCAGTGGTCCCCAAAAGTATGCATCACAATGTAAATGCTCTGGAGTGTACTTCAACATTCGTCTTCGCATATTATGATCACATATGCTGTAGATTGGAAGTGTCTGGAACCTTCTCCAACCCAAGGAGACAATAAGAGGATCTCGGTTTTTCAGGATTTTGGGATACCAACGATGCTTTTTTAATCTGGTTTGCACAAATCCTATTTGGTCCTCTCCCTTCAGCAGGCCACCAATTATCAAAGGTGTTGAAGGATCGAAGAACTCTACAAGCTCGCAAGGGGTGTCCTGTATCTCAATTCTGACATACATGCCAGGACGATATCCTTCATACAGTACACGCTGTGCATCATCCATACCATCAAACTCATTCCGATTCAGAGTTGACTGGTCATCAACTTCTTTCTTGAGATCATCGTAGAAGGTTGAATTTGCCCCGCCTTCACCATCATCATAATCCACATCAAACTGTCGTTTCAGCTGGATCTTACGCTCCATACGCGCCTTTCTTTTGTCCTTTTCTCTTTGAGCATCTCCTCCATAATCAACTATTCGGGGTGCTTCTTCTTCCTCCTCCTCTTCATCTATACTTTTCATCCCGGCCTTAACTGAGTGTCCCGTCTCAAGGTCCTCAAAGTCCCCATAGACCTCATCCTCATCCTCGTCATCCATCTTCAGAAGTTCTTCAGCGTCCTCACCCTGGCCCCACTTACCAGTCACAAAACAATCCTTGATTTTATTGCACATATCTTCAATTTCCCAATCATGAAGATTATCAACCTTGAAGAAAGAACAATCCTCCCCATCTGCCAATCTTGCTGTTTCAGATTTCTGGGCTTGGTTTTGTCGAACTATCTTAAAGAGTCCTCCCACTTCATCCTCATCATCTTCATCTTCTTTATCATCTTCAACTTCATCCTGGAGATGGCCATATACTAACCGCCTCAGACTGCCTGTACTGGACTGTCTGGCGTAGAAAGCATCTCTGGCTTTCCCCGCCAAATCTGATTTCCATTTTAAGACTCCTTCTTCTTCTTCCTCTTCCTCTTCTTCATTTTCGTCCTTTTCTTCTTCATCAGTTGAGTCACCCTCTAAAAACAAATCAAATGAATAGAATAAAAAAAATATAGCTTTTTAAAAACTTACCATTTCTGCTTCTAGAGCCTTCTTCATCTTCCATTTCACTTTCATCCTCTTCATCAGATTCGTTTTCTTCGGATTCATTTTCATCTTCCTCTGATTCATCTTCATCTTCCATCTGTTCCTTCTGGTTGATTTTTGACAAAGCTTGTGTCACTTTGTTGTGCGCCTCTGTATCTTTATCAGTGGCGAGTCGATGATGGAATCTACCAGATTTCACAGAATCAGAGGATTTTCTTACCTCTGAAGATTCTTCGGATTTCACTAAATTGTCGTCATTTCCTTCTGCAATGTCCTCATCTGAATCCCCATCTGAAGCACTGCCTCCGATTTCCTGGAGAATGGCTGCGTTAATATCACTGATGGTTTTAGGTGGCTGATTCCAGGTTTTTAGCTTCTTAACAGTTTTGTTTGTTTTGTCTTCAGACTTACGTTTGCCAAGAGACAAAGACTTATCATCATCCTCCTCTTCTTCTTCTTCTTCTTCTTCCTCATTCTCTTCTTCCTCATTCTCCTCTTCCTCGTCCTTTTCTTCGTGGTCCTCCTCTTCCACGCTCTCTTCTTCCTCCTCAATGTTATCTTCTGAATCCTCTCCATCTACATCATCTTCTCCTACCATTTCCTCCACGTCCTCTTGTATCACATCCTCTTTGTTGTCCTGGAATTTAACCTTCCTACGTCCTCCAATATTGACCTCCATACGTTCAGTATGCTCCTGCAATACATCAGAATAATATGGAATGAGTTATTGAAAATAAATTAATTCAAACAAGAGAATGCAAGAACAATTAAAGAGGTGTAGTATTTTCAAGATTAGGCCACCATGGGGGGGGGGAGAGAGTATTTTTGAGGCTCTGTGGAAAAAAGAATGAATAAACATATTTACCATTAAATGCATTTTTAAGTGGATAAATAAAGGAATTAAATGATTAATGAATTAAAAGATTAATGTATTAAAGAATTAATAAATTGAAGGATTAATGAACAAAAGGATTACAATTTTTTTTGAAGGATTAATGAGTTAAAGGATTAATACAATAACGGATTCAGTGAATATTGAATTGAAGGATAAATTAATTAAGGTAATATTGAATTAAAGAATACAAGGATGAATGAATAAATGAAAGAATATTTGTTTTTAATGGCAAATATAAAAGGATGAATGAATGAATGAATGGATGAACAAATGAATACCTGTGATGTGAAGGGGGTTGAGGATGAAAAAAGTTTAAGTTCACTTCTCTCCAGTTTCTCATTTAAACTTAATTCAGAGCTAAGCAGAACGATAATAAACTTAATTGAAACTTGATTTTGTGTCATCGCTTAAACTTGGTGCCTAAAACTGTCATGGTACATAAAACTGTCATAATACAACTTTTATGCCACCTAGAACTGTCATGGCACCTAAAACTGTCATGGCGCCTAAAACTGTCATAGCACATAAAACCTGTCATGGCGACTAAAACTGTCATGACATATAAAACTGTCATGACATATAAAACTGTCATGGTGACTAAAAATGTCATGGCGCCTAAAACTGTCTTGGCGACTAAAACTGTCATGGCAACTAAAACTGTCATGGCAACTAAAACTGTCATGGAGACTAAAACTGTCATGGCGGCTAAAACTGTCATGGTGGCTAAAACTGTCATAGCGTCTGATAAGTTTATTTATTTCCCTGATAATATTCTTGACAAGGTCTGCAACATGAACTTCTTCTTCGTCCTTATCAGCCTCAGCTCGGGCATAAGAATGGCTTCCTCCTGGAATATATTTCCACCTTTTAAATAACCCCAAAACTATTGGGACACTTCTTAATGGGGTTTAAATTATCAAGAGGGAGGGAATTTACAAAGATCAGGGGGGGGGGGGAGAATTGGACAGCAAAAGGCAAGTTTTAAAATCCTTTTCATACTTTTTACCTGGACAAATTTATTTATTTTTCCCTAAAATAAACCGAACCCTAAAAACATTTTTGAGCTCCATGCAAGCATACCTAACTTATATGGGCAAAATTTCAAAAAATGAGAGGGGGGGAGGGACGACTTTTCAATAAAACTATCCACCCAATCTATAAAGTGCTTAAATCAATCTTGCACCAGTTCCAAACTTTTCTTTGATACAATTTTGAGAAAAATATGATTTTTTTTATTAATTATCAAATTCTTTCATTCACTACTTTCAGATTTTTTTATCAACTAGCAATCAGTAAATCAATCAGAGTTTTAGGGACATGCCGTACTTTTTACATTACAATCTCAAAGTGAACTTACAAAATCGAGTTTGAGATATTGTTTGCAGCTTGTGATATGTTTTAGATAAATTACAAATGTAAGTGAGAAAAAATATCTTTACACACACTACACAGTAAAATGTAGTACACACACTAACTCAGTATAGCACACACACTACATAGTAAAGTATAAACTAACCTAGATCAATGTATACAGCGTCCTTGTCATAAACTACTCCACCCACCCCTGACATAGGGGCGTAGATACATTTATCCTTCTCAACCAATGTACGTCTCTTCTTTACCTCCTACAAAATAAAATTCTAATTATTTTAGTTTAAAGAATTTTTATGATTGTAAAACTATTTTTTGGTTACATGTCGTTTTCATTTATTAATCAAACTTTTTTTAGTTTCTCACTGTTGATTTTCTTCTGTTTGTCGTTTGTTTCTCATATCTTGTTTATTTTTAAACATAACCTTATATATTATCATAGTAAGGATGTTACTGTACATTATGCAATGAAATTACTTGGTTTGCTGGGATTAAAGAAGAAAAACATTCTGTAGTTACGTTCTCTTGTGTAATCTTATATTAATTACATTGCTATTGTTAGGTTATTGACATGAGTAACGTTACTTGGTTAGCAGGGTAAAACAAGAAAAACAAACTGCAGTTACGCCTGTAATGTAAGCTTTTGTTGGCAATGTTAGATTATTTTACTGTAATGATATGAATTAATGTTACTTGGTTTGCAGGGTAAAACAAGAAGTACAAACTGTAGGTACATTCTGTAATGCAATCATAAGTAAATTATGTTAGTAACATTAGGTTATGTTAAGGTGTATCATTATGAATTAATTATTAACATTTGTAACGTTACTTGGTTTGCAGGGTAAAAAAAAATTGTAGGAAATTGTATGCATTACAGTTAGTAACGTTACTTGGTTTGTAGGTTAAAAAGGAAATACAAACCGTAGGAAATGGTATGCATTGCTGTTAGTAATGTTACTTGGTTTGCAGGGAAAAAAAAAAGAAATCATAGGAAATGGTATGCATTACAGTTAGTAACATTACTTGGTTTGCGGGGTAAAAAGAAAAACAAACTTTAGGAAATGGTTTGCATTACAGTTAGTAACATTACTTGGTTTTCTGGGTAAAAAAGAAAAACAAACCATAGGAAATGGCTGCATTACAGTTAATAACTCTACTGGGTTTGAAGGGTAAAAAAAAAATCGAAGGAAATTGAATGCATTACAGTTAGTACCGTTACTTGGTTTGCGAGGTAAAAAAAAAAAAAAACATAGGAAACATTATGCATTATTGTTAATAACATTACATGGTTTGCACGGTAAAAAAAATTGTAGGAAATTCTATGCATTACAGTTAGTAACGTTATTTGGTTTGAAGGGTAAAAAAAGAAAAACAAACTGTAGGAAATGGTATGCATTACAGTTAGTAACTTCACTGGGTTGGAAGAGTAAAAAAAAAAAAAAAAACTTGAAGGAAATGGTATGCATTACTGTTAGTAACATTACTTGGTTTTCCAGATAAAAAAGAAAAAGAAACTGTAGGAAACAATATGCATTACAGTTAGTAACGTTACTTGGTTAGCGGGGTAAAAAAGAAAAACAAACCCGAGGGAATGGTATGCATTACTGTTAGTAATGTTACTTGGTTTGCAGGGTAAAAAAAAAGAAATCACAGGAAATGGTATGCATTACAGTTAGTAACATTACTTTGTTTGCGGGGTAAAAAAGAAAAACAAACCATAGGAAATGGTTGCATTACAGCTAATAGCTTTACTGGATTTGAAGAGTAAAAAAAAATCAAAGGAAATGGTATGCACTTATGTTAGTAACATTACTTGGTTTTCCAGGTAAAAAAGAGAAAGAAATCGTAGGATATGGTACGCATTATAGTTAGTAACATTACTTGGTTTGTGGGGTATAAAGAAAAACAAACCGTAGGAAATTCTTTGCATTACAGTTAGTGACATTACTTGGTTTGCAGGGTAAAAAAGAAAAACAAACCATAGGAAATGGCTGCATTACAGTTAATAACTCTACTGGGTTTGAAGGGTAAAAAAAAAATCAAAGGAAATTGTATGCATCACAGTTAGAACCGTTACTTGGTTTGTGGGGTAAAAAAAAACTGTAGGAAATAATATGCATTACTGTCAGTAACTTTACTTGGTTCGCGAGGTAAAAAAGAAAAAAAATCATAGGAAACAGTATGCATTATTGTTAATAACATTACTTGGTTTCCAGGGTAAAAGAAAAAAAAATTGTAGGAAATTCTATGCATTGCAGTTGGTAACGTTATTTGGTTTGAAGGGTAAAAAAAGAAAAACAAACTGTAGGAAACAATATGCATTACAGATAGTAACGTTACATGGTTTGTGCGGTTAAAAAAGAAAAACATACCGTAGGTAGAGGACAAGGATCAGGCAGGAAACTGATGTCTGAGATTTGGAAGTCCCCAACTCCCGCTGGAAAAATAAATATAAATAAATAAAATGATCAACAATTGTTCCACTGAAGTCAGGATTAAGCTCTCATCAAACCGACCAACCTTTATGGTTGGCAGGGCATCACAGGAACATGTTTTGAAGAAATCAAGCCAGGATGGCCAGGCAAGAGTCAAGGCTTGAATCTTCAGGCGCTTTCTGAAAGGTTACTTTTACCCAAATGTAAATTTTTAAAATATCCAATTCCCAAATGTAAAAAAAAAAATCCCTCAATTTTACTTTAAAAATGTAGCATATTCAAAAAATATCTTAACATATTTGCCTATTTTAAATATAACCCTTTAAGGGGTTTGAAAATTAAGGATAATATGAGTTTCTTAATCACATTAGGTTCGACAAACTGAAGAAATACATACCTATATGTAGATGTGAATTTTTCTTTATATTAGTTCCCCTGAGATAACCGTACAGAGACACCTTACGGTCACACTTACTATTCAACCTAGAGCAGAATAAGACATCTTAATATCGGATAACAAATGGATAAGATAGTGAATGGATCAGAAAACATTCAGACCAGTTTTAGTTTAAGACCAGGTATCAGACCAGTTTTAGTTTAAGACCAGGTATCAGACCCGTTTTAGTTTAAGACAAGGTATCAGACCAGTTTTAGTTTAAGACAAGGTATCAGACCAGTTTTAGTTTAAGACCAGGTATCAGACCAGTTTTAGTTTAAGATCACGTATCAGACTACTTTAGTTTAAGATCAGGTATCAGACCAGTTTTAGTTTCAGATCAGGAGTCAGTCCAGCGTTAGTTCAAACCTTTGTTAGATTTTCAAAATAAGTATTTTTTTAAAAAATATTCCTGACTGCCATTCATATTAACTAAGAAAATGTTTCATTGTTTAATCCTTGATTGTGAAGGTTGAATGTAAATTGTTCCCTCAGCATCCCGAACCCCTACTGCAACGTTTTTTGGGACGCCCTGTATTTTGAAAAAAAAGTATTTTCAGTTTGAGATTAATTTTAGGGGTGCAGGCATAATAATTCAATTTGAATACAAGGTAAGGGAGATAGCCCGGACTCACATTCATATAAACTAAGAAAGTGTTTCAGTGTCAAATCCTTGATTGTCAAAAGTTAAATGAAATTTGTTCCCTTAACAGTCAGCACCCAAAAACCTTACTGCAAAGTTTTTTTGGGACACCCTGAATTTAAAAAAATGTTTTTTTTTCAGTTTGAGATAAATCTATATTTAAAACAATTCTTCCTTCTAAGTGAAATAGAGTAGAGGAGGCCCAAGTGTGTGGACAAATTCTGCAGGCATAATAGTTTACTTTCAATACAAGGTAAAGGCGATTTTAAAATTTATATTTAATTTGACCTGGTAAACTTCAGTCCAAAATCTGTGTTTCAGATTCTTCTTGGTTCTCTGTAATCCCTGCAAAGTTTAAAAAAATAACAAAAAATAATTCAAAAACTTTTTTAAAATTCTAAATAAAATATAAATTGTATTTGTACCTTGTTATTTTTAAAGGTATCCAAGTGCGTCAGAACACCCATTATTCTAGAAACAAAAAGAATTAAATTTCATTAAATTCACTTTAAAGCAATCAATCAATCAATCAATCAATCAATCAATTAATGAATCAACATATCAAAAAAATAAAAAATCAATCAATTTAAAAAAAATGAACCAATCAATCAATCAACGAATAAATGAATGAATCAATCAATCAAAAAATTAACTAACCAATCAATCAATCAAAATGTTCAGCAAAAAACTTTCAATATTTCAATCTTAATTTAGAAAAGTCATAAAGTCAGTGAGTGGATATGAAGATCAGCAGGGAAGGAGAGGGGTGTAAATGTGTTAGGGGAGAAGAAAGAGAGGGAATAGGTTTAAAATTTGGGAATAGGAATAGGGGGAATAGGAGAGGGGTGTTATTGTGTTAGGGGAGAAGAAAGAGGGGAAATAGGTTTAAAGAATAAAGGAGGTCTGAAAACAGGAGAGAAAAGGGTTGGGAAGTAGAAGGGAGAAGGTCTAAAGGAGAGAAGGGAAGGAAACGAAAGAAAAGGGCAGAAGGAAGGGGGGGATATGAAGGATGCGAGGAAAAGGAGGGAAAGGATAGTTCAAAAGTAGAGTAGAGAAGGGAAAGAGAGAAAGAAGAGGAGGAAAAATAGAGAAAAGAGGCAATATATTACCTGGGGAAACCATGAACTTGACAAATATTGAGGAACTCAAATATCTCCATCTCAAACCCGAAACTAGCATCAACCAGTAGAAGAACTAGATCTGCAACCTAGAGTTAATATATATGAACTAGCATCAACCAGTAGAAGAACTAGATCTGCAACCTAGAGTTAAAATATATGAACTAGCATCAACCAGTAGAAGAACTAGATCTGCAACCTAGAGTTAAAATATATGAACTAGCATCAACCAGAAGAAGAACTAGATCTGCAACCTAGAGTTAATATATATGAACTAGCATCAACCAGTAGAAGAACTAGATCTGCAACCTAGAGTTAATATATATGAACTAGCATCAACCAGTAGAAGAACTAGATCTGCAACCTAGAGTTAAAATATATGAACTAGCATCAACCAGTAGAAGAACTAGATCTGCAACCTAGAGTTAAAATATATGAACTAGCATCAACCAGAAGAAGAACTAGATCTGCAACCTAGAGTTAATATATATGAACTAGCATCAACCAGTAGAAGAACTAGATCTGCAACCTAGAGTTAATATATATGAACTAGCATCAACCAGTAGAAGAACTAGATCTGCAACCTAGAGTTAATATATATGAACTAGCATCAACCAGTAGAAGAACTAGATCTGCAACCTAGAGTCAATACATTTGGTCAGCCTAGATTTAATAAATTCTTTTCAGCCATATTTGCGTAGTTACTTAATAAATTACATTTAATTTACATAATTTGATAAACTGGGAGCCTTGGTTAATATATTCAGTTCAGTCTAGATTCAATATATTCAGTTCAGTCTAGATTTAATATATTCAGTTCAGCCTAGATTCAATATATTCAGTTCAGCCTAGATTCAATATGTTCAGTTCATTCTAGATTCAATATATTCAGTTCAGTCTAGATTAAATATATTCAGTTCATGTCTAGATTCAATATTTTCAGTTCAGTCTAGATTCAATAAAGTCAGTTCAGCCTAGATTCAATATATTCAGTTCAGCCTAGATTCAATATATTCAGTTCAGTCTAGATTCAATATATTCAGTTCAGTCTAGATTCAATATTATATATTCAGTTCAGTCTAGATTCAAAATAATCAGTTCAGTCTATGATCTGCATCCCCATTAACGATTCTCAACCCGTTAATTGATACAAAGTTCCGTATCAACCTCCCATTGGAGGCATGTATTAGTATCCACTCTCGTTCATTATCCAAGTAGGGATGCACTGGAAGCGGGGGTTCATACCGTGAATGGTTAAGGCCTGGCTTAATTATGGTTAGTATTCCCCCACCTTTCCTTTCTTTTCCAAGTCTCTCCTTGGAGTACCATGTGAATTTGTCTAGATAAGCAAGATCATCATTTGACCCCTGTCTCAGATGCGTTTCACTTACGCTAAGTACATGAATGTTAATGTCCTCCATGACCTCCACAATCATGAACTAGATCTGCAACCTAGAGTCAATACATTTGGTCAGCCTAGATTTAATAAATTCTTTTCAGCCATATTTGCGTAGTTACTTAATAAATTACATTTAATTTACATAATTTGATAAACTGGGAGCCTTGGTTAATATATTCAGTTCAGTCTAGATTCAATATATTCAGTTCAGTCTAGATTTAATATATTCAGTTCAGTCTAGATTCAATATATTCAGTTCATGTCTAGATTCAATATATTCAGTTCAGTCTAGATTCAATATATTCAGTTCAGTCTAGATTCAATATATTCAGTTCAGTCTGTCTAGATTCAATATTATATATTCAGTTCAGTCTAGATTCAAAATAATCAGTTCAGTCTAGATTCAATATATTCAGTTCAGCCTAGATTCAATATATTCAGTTCAGCCTAGATTCAAAATAAATAAAAAATCTTTATATAAAAAGTAGTAATCTCTGTTTGTTTGTCCGATCATAACTCTGGAACCCCTTGCTTATTTGATTGGGGAACTCGGAAGAGCCACGGGAATGTTCTTAGCGTGGTTTTTTAGTTGAGTGGGACGACTTTTATTGGGAAAAATGGCTAAAACCGTAATTTACGACCAAGTGCGGGTAAACGGCGGAAGTAACTATGAGTAACCAGGGCAACACTGGGTTCCCAAGCTAGTCTTCTATAGAATAAAACCCGGGGCTAACATAGGCTAAAAAAATTCTTATTTTTTTTTCTTCAAAAATTTTTTTTCTTCAAAATTCGATTTTAAAATATTCCACGGGCAACGCCGGGCCCTTCAGCTAGTATAATATAAAATATAACCTTGGCCACGTCGATCATAGAGTTGATATCATTGTTGCACTCAATCAGAGTTAGCCTTCGCTTCTTACCAGATATTACTGTTACTGGACCCTAGATAGATGGATAGATGGATGGATAGATAGATAGAAAGATAGATTGATGGATTTGTAGATGGATAGATACATAGATGGATTAGTGGATAAATAGATAGATAAATGGATAAATAGATAAAATAGACGGATAAACATTGTTTATTTATTGATGGATAAATAAATCGATTGATGGATAAATAAATGGATTGAGGTGGGATATGATTGTACCTGAATATTGTTGAGAGTTTGCCTAGTGAAGTTTCTCACCAAACATTGAAGAAGGGTACTCTTCCCAACCTAGATCAAGATCAAGATCAAGATCAAGATCAAGATCAAGATCAAGATCAAGCTGAAGGACAAGGTCAATATTTAGATCAAGACCAAGTTCAAGGTCCATTTCAAGGCCAATTTCAAGGCTAAGGTCAAAGTCAATGTCAATAACAAGAACAAGATCAAGACCAAGGTTCTGATCAAGGTCAAATTTCTGGTCAAGGTCATGGCCAAGGTCAAGGTTGAGGTCAAGGTCAAGGTCAAGGTTGAGGTCAAGGCCAAGGTCAAAGTTAATTCCAAAGTCAAGGTAAAGGACAATGTCAATGTCAAGGTCAAGATCGAGGCTATGGTCAATAGTAATATAAAATTTGGTAATTTTTCTGGTCACAAATTACAATATTTTTAATAGTTCTGGTCCTAAATTTGTACTGGTTTTGGTCCTAAATTACTTCTGGTTCTGGTTCTAAATTTGTGATATTTCTGGTCCTAAATTTGTAATGGTTCTTGCCCTAAGTTGGTAATAGTTCTGGTCCTAAATCGTTAATAGATTTGAGGCCGAATTTTAAGAATTTGAGCCGCGTCTCAACTTTTAGATGCGGCTCAAACATGGTTGGTTCCACTTAAAATTGTATTCAGTTTTTTAAGATCTAAGCCGGCGCTCAATTGGAACTGGTTTTTGCCGGTTCAGCGGTGAGGATTAAATTCTTTAAATTCGGCCTCTGGTCCTAAATGTTCCTTGACAACTATACCTTAGGAGGTCCCACAATAGCAACAATAATTGGTGGTGGCTCCAGGGGTGTACGGTCAACCACGGGTTGATGCTTTCTTTTCTCAGATATATCCTCCTTACGCCTTACACGCCGTTCCGCCTAAATATAATTGTTTAAATATCCGCCTTCTGCCTTGCACACTGTTCCGCCCAAATATAATTGCTTAAATATCCGCCTTATACCTTACACGCCGTTCGCCAAAATATAATTGTTTAAATATCCGCCTTCTGCCTAGCACACTGTTCCGCCTAAATCTAGTTGTTAAAGTATCCTCCTTATGCCTAACACGGCGTTCCGCCTAAATATAGTTGTTAAAATATCCTCCTTAAGCCTAACACGCCATTCCACCTAAATATAGTTGATACAATACGCCTTACAGACCCTTCCGCCTAAATATAGTTTATAAAATATCTTCTTATGCCTTACACGCCTTTCCGCCTATATTTAGTTTATATAATGTCCTCCTTGCGCCTTACATGCTGTTCTGTCTAAATATAGTTCATAAAATATCCGCCTCACACTTTTCACCGTTCCGCTTGGATTTAGTTTATAAAAAATCTGCCTTACGTCTTACACATCATTTCACCTAAATGAAGTTGATATAAAAACTGCCTTTTGCCTTACACGCCCTTCCGAATGGATGTAGTACATAAAATATATGCCTTACGCCTTACACACCCTTCCGCCTAGAAAAATATTGTTAAAAATCTGTCTTACATGTCATTCCGTCTAAATGTATTAAATAAATATCCTCCTAAAACCTTATACACTGTTCTGCCTACACATACTTAACAAAGTATCTACCTTACACCTTATCACTTAAATGTACATTAAAAATATCTGTCCAACGCCGTAAACGCCATTTGGTTTATCCGCTTAGGCCTTACACGCTGTTTTCATAATAAAATACCTGCATTTATCTTTAATACAGTCCCACCTTTCTGTGTGTTGGTACTAAGCTACCATGTGCCAAAAGCTAAACACGCAATTATAGATTACACATTTTTCTGTTTTAATTTGGATCATTAAATATCCGCCTTACACCTCAATTACACCTTGATTTATAGACAGCCGCCATACACCTTACAGTTTACATGCCATTCCGGATTACTAGCTTATACTTATTAAATGCCATGTGCCTTACACATCACTCCACCTTAATATGATTTATAGCATATCTGTACTATAGTTCACAGTCCATTGCACACTGTTGCTAGTACACTGTACTCATGTGTACAAAGTATAAGTTACAAAGTACACACTATACAGTACAAACACAAGCATAACTTACCTTTGTTATATTCTGAACCGCAAACGCCTTGGGATTTCTCTGCTTCTCTGCATCCTGAAAAATGATCCATTAAATAGTTGGTCGAGCAGAACAGTTTCTGTAAATCAATTTAATCAATTCAATCAATTGGTCAAATTATCGGTCAAAAAGCCAGGTAGTCTCTTAAACAATCGGTCAAATAGTCAGGTAGTCTCTTAATCATTTGGTCAAATAGTCAGGTAGTCTCTTAATCATTTGGTCAAATAGTCAGGTAGTCTCTTAATTATTTGGTCAAATATTCAGGTAGTCGCTTAATCATTTAGTCAAATAGCCAGGTAGTCTCTTAATCATTTAGTCAAATAGCCAGGTAGTCTCTTAATCATTTAGTCAAATATTCAGGTAGTCTCTTAATTATTTAGTCAAATAGTCAGGTAGTCTCTTAATCATTTAGTCAAATAGCAGGTAGTCTCTTAATCATTTAGTCAAATAGTCAGGTAGTCTCTTAATCATTTCGTCAAATAGCCAGGTAGTCTATCAACCAATCGGTAAAACAGTCATCATATTGTGTAAATATTCGGGGGGAAATCAATAAGAAATTAAATTTTCAGTAATTTTTTCCCAAATATTTTCCAACCTTCTGAATAGGAGTTTTAACTTTCTTTTTCTCAGCTTTCTTTCCAGCACTTCGCTTCCTGTAATACAGTATATTTCAGGCATTGTACAAATTTATAGGGTACAGACCTGTAGATATTGTGTATGTGTACTGTACAGAACAAAAAGGGTACTATTGTACGGTACAAGTGTACCACTGTACTGTACAGTACACGGGTTCTTACTGTACTGTACACTACACGAGTATACTACTGTACTGTATGATACGAGGGTGCATTATAATGTACGGTACAGTAGTGAACTGTACTGTACGGTACAAGAGTTTACTATTACACTGATCAAATTAAACGATTAAAAACTTAATCTACACACCAATCAATTAACTTAATCTTAATTCAATTAATTATTCAATCAAACATATCAATTAATCAAAAGATTAAATAACAATTCATTCAATCAATCAATTATTTAATATCTTTATTTAACCGAAAAATCTACAATGAATTTGTAAATTAATATTTTAATTTATCCATCCCTCAATCAATAATTTTAATATTAAAGGGACCGCTCACTTATTTGGGTAATTTGAGGGTAAACTAAATAGCCTATTAGCTATAATTTTCAAAGACAACTGTGGCCTGAAAAAAAGCCAATTTATCATTCAGAATTCCAACGCAAAGGTATGAACATTTAATTTGTTGAATCATGTTTGAACACAAAAAACGTTAATTTCTTGCTTATTCTAAAATCATAAGTTTAAATATTTTTTTCATATTTTGGCTGACACATAATGTCATTAAAATATAATAATTTTAGATTTTATTGTCAAATTTCTCCGGTCATAGATATCTTTGAAAAGTAAGACTAAAAGAAAAGCTAGTAGGATAATTAGCTTACCATGAAATTACCCAAATAAGTGAACGGTCCCTTTAAACAAATTATTAGATCAATTAATTATAGATCGTCTTACTCAACTCAGTAATTTCAATCAATTCAATAATTAAATCGATCAATTTATCAATTCAATAAATAAATCGATCAATTTATCAATTCAATAAATAAATCGATCAATTTATCAATCAATCAATCGATCAATCAATCACCTGTGCGCTTTCTGTCCTTCTGGGAATTCATCTTCCCCCATCTTGTCTGAAAGAGAATAATCTTTATAAAATTCAATTTAATAATTAAATAAATTAAAGATGGGAAAACGAGTGAGACCCATAAAACTGTGGAAAAAAAGAGGACAGCGTTTTAACAGTTTTATTTGTTGGAGCTATAAAGCATATAATTGTACAAGTCGCTTGAAAATAAATTTATTAAGGTTAATTGGGTTTGTGTACACTGAACACTGTAGTTGTACCCTGCACACTGTACACTGTAGTTATACCCTGCACACTGTACACTGTANTTTGTTGCTTAACCTGCACAGTGTACACTGTACACTGTAGTTGTACCCTGCACACTGTACACTGTAGTTATACCCTGCACACTGTACACTGTACACTGTACACTGTACACTGTACACTGTAGTTGCACCCTGCAAAATTGCTGTGTTTCATGTTAATTAGACTATTTGAAACCGAGTCTAAAAGTAGTCTTCGTATGTAGGGGTCGATGTATTTAATACAGTTCTATTCAAGTATAGTTCAGGGTTTAACTCTCTCCTTGTCCAGACTGTAATATGTATTTAATACAGTTCTATTCAAGTATAGTCTAGGGTTTAACTCTCTCCTTGTCTAGACTGTAATATGTATTTAATACAGTTCTATTCAAGTATAGTCCAGGGTTTAACTCTCTCCTTGTCCAGGCTGTAATATGTATTTCTGTGCAGATTCTCAGCTTCATACCTGAAACAGTATTTTTCATTATCAAAATGACAAAAGACTAAATTTTAAGTGAGCTCCTGAGTGTTTATGCTCAATTCACAACGGTACCCTATCTGAGAAACAATAAGCAAGATATTGTTGTTAAAAAAGAACAATGTCCCTACAGTCTCTTTTTGGGTAAAAAAGGATGAACTCGACTTTTGGCCAAGTAAAGGTTGAAAGGGGAGTTGAAATCACAAGGATTGTCACTTTAATTTATTTACTTATTTAATATTCATTTGTTCTTACATTTTCCTGCCATATTCTGAAGCATGCAGCAATGCGCAATAGAGAAATAATTCTTGAAAATAGTCAATTTTCTAAGAAATGATGTTTGATAGAATTAATTAGTACAGTACTCTACCATATTAAATGGATAGATCGACCTTAGAAGTATTCTTCATCATCGGTCCGTAGACGGGATACTACTATACATTCACTCCTAGCTCTTAATTTGAATAAAGAAGCTGGCAAATTACGTTTTATTGAAATGATAAGAAATTGCCTCGTTTTAAACTAACTTTGATCATACAAAGCTGTAAAGAGTGAAAATCGGACATGCCACTTGAAATTACGTCTACAGTCCCTTTAAATAAATAAAAAAAGAATGCTTACACTTGTGGTTCCTGAAGACTGATTCCATTCTCCTCAATCATAGAAATAAACTTCTGCATCTTGTCCTGAGGAAAATTGATTTACGTCACTAAACCGGAAATTATGTAAAATTACGTTTAAATTACATATTTTGGTAAATAGGGAGCCTTTTCAATTATAGAAATAAAATTCTGAATCTTATCCTGAGAAAAAATGGATTTATGTCAATAAACTGGAAATTATGTAAAATCTACGCTTAAATCACGTAATTTGATCAAAGTGAATGCCTTCTCTGCTCTTCCTTGTAGTGGAATAAACTTCTAAATCGTATCCGTTCAAAAATGAAAACTATTTGAGTTTTAGCCTATTTTACCCAAATTTAAAAAAAAGGATGTATTTAAGTTTTTATTTTTTAAATCAATAATACTTGAGTAAAGTCTTTTTCTTCTATTAAAACAAGTTGTATCATATGTAAGGTGGAATTGGAGAGTGGGGGCGGGGGGTTCAAGTTGTGTACATTTTACTGTATTAGGACAGGAACTGGTTTAAGGTAAATAAACAACAGTTAGATTGATAAATAGATAAATATTTAGAAAATAGATATGAAGATAGATCAATAGATATTAATGGATGGTTAAATAGATAGAGAGATTAATTGAATAAATAGATAAATAGAAATAAATAGATTAAAAAGAAAATTAGACATAAAAAAATCCGTTTCAAGGGGAGTCAAAATGTGGCGAATCCAACAGATCAGGATCCTAAGCAAGACATAACAAACATTTGGATTTAGGAAACAAAAAGTACTTTCAAAAGAGGTGGTTGAAAAACAACGATTTTTAAAGAAATATACACACAAGAAGTTGACTGTAAAATCAACAAACATTCACTTTTTGGAAACAGGGGGGACTGTAAGTGTAATTTCCAGTGACCTTTCATTTATAAAGTGGCATGTCCTATTCACAACGGTAACCTTTAAACCATTGTCCGGACATCAATGAGGTAGATACCCTAATTTGTATAGCTGAAGATTGAGTAACGGTAGAGTTAAGGTTTCAGTGTACACTGTACTCTCCGAGCTGGTGTACACTCTCGTAGATTCTTGGCACTTAATTTCCCGCTATTAAGATAGGAATATCTACGAAATCCTTGATTAAGGTTTAAAGGGTAACGTTGTAAATCGGACAATGCCAATCTAGTATATAAATCTAAAATTACCTTTGACTGATTATTTTTGCCACGGTTTGCACAGCAGCACTATCTGTCAGGTTATACAGCTGCTTTCTATACAATCAATCAATCAATCAATCAATCAATCAATCTAATATAATTCTAAATTAATCTCTAGCACAAAACTCTTAATGTTCTAATAAAATTTTGAAATTATTAATATATTTGATTTGATTTCGATGCTTTTTTAAAAATTGTTTCCCCTCCCCCCCCCTCACCCAATATATTATTTTTAGGTTTATTCCCATAAAATTGAATATTTGGAGAGGAGAAAAGATAATTTTAAAAATTGTATTCACCCCCCCCCCCATATATCTTGGAACCAAACAACCAAAACAACAATCAAAGAACCCAACAAGTAAAAAACCAAAAAAGTAAAAAAACCAAACCTGATTGGCCATTCTCGTGTTGAAGCCTTCGCCACAACCCGACCTGTCCAGTGCCGAACCTTTATTAAGCATTTTAATACAATGCTTAAAATAATTTTAAGCATTTCGAAGCATTGCTAAGGATCATTTCAAGGCAGTGATTATGCTCAAGAACTTTAAAGCAGTGTTTTTAAAGTTCTAAAAGATAAGAATAATAATAGCAAAAAAATAGAAAATCGGATTTTACCATTGGTTAAACATATCAGAAACGGTAACCTTCAGCCCCGCTCTTGGCAACCTTGGGGGCGAATATAAAATGCCCCCCCCCCTCATGTACCAAATATACCAACCTCTGCTGTAGTGTGCTGGTTAGAGATCTGCAAAGTTAACCCATTCCAATATTTCCTGGGAGCACTATCCAGTTGAAATCCTTCAGGCTTTCTAAACAACCAAATAATGAAAATCCACGAAAGTTTTTTATAAAATCCGCAAGTTTGTTAATTAGGATTCTGGAACCAGAGAAGATATACTTATCTTCCACTTTTTTTATATATATAAACTCTTTAGTTTGGGGACAGTGGAAATAAGTTTTAGAAAAAAAGAAGAAAAAAGGGCCTTTGATCTTAGGCTGAAAGTGTCTTAAGCTCACGATGGGATGCCTGTTAATACACCAAAAGAAAAATTCTGAGATTTGATCGTAAAAATCTGATAATATCCGCTGGTCACAACAAATCTAATCAAATCAAATTTTGCAGGGATGGCTTAAGGCTTCTAATCGAGTTTCAAGTTTTGCACACATTCGGGTTTTTTCAGCCCGATCTTAATCAATAAACAAAATCTTTAAAAAAATATTTTAATTTAAAAAAATACCTGCCAATACACATCATCTCAAGATTCATGGGATTTCTGTTCCTCACTCTGTAAATATAAAACAGGGTTATTTACAGTGCTTAAGAACCGCTTTCTGGGGTTATTTACAGTGCTTAAGAACCGCTTTCTGGGGTTATTTACAGTGCTTAAGAACCGCTTTCTGGGGTTATTTACAGTGCTTAAAAACCGCTTTCTGAATCTGATATATCGTTATGTATAACCTTCCTTCGCATATAGTAAAGCAAGTATGTCTGCAAAAAAAGAAGAAATGTTTGGAAATTTGTTTTTGTAAAAGAAATAAACAATACTTAAAAGCAATAAACATAGTACAATACTTATAAGTAACATTCTTGAGCAGTTGGATCTGGATATGAATCCATTTTTTTTAAAGATCCTGATTCATTTTTTTAAAGGACGGATCCAGGATCCGGATCCACATCGAAATGAAATGAATCTTAGTCCTATTTATTTTTAACAAAAGTCAACCACCCCCCCACCCCCCGCCTCCTTAAAAGATCATTTTCTCCTCGGTAAATATAATTCATATGACAAATTAAAAAAAATGAATTTATACAATGAATTTCAAAAATTCTTAATTCAGAGCTGGGAACTTTAGAATGGTGGATATCGGGATTAATGCTTAATCCACTCTTTTTCTTAATCTCCAGATTAAATATTGCTCGTTGTCTGGGGGGGGAAGGGATTGCAGCAGATCTAACCTGGGCGCAATTATATCATTATTACTGTAAGCAGCATCAGAACTACCCGGTACTCCGCCTAAAATAGATGGAGTCGTTGGACCAGATTTAGGAAATAACTAAACCCTAGTTCAATAAGGACAGAATTGTTTTTAATTAATAAAAAAGAAACAAAAATGTTTACTACCGAAAAAGATATCTTTAATTTTGGTTTGCTTTATTTTTTTGCTTTGTTTTGTTTATATTTGTTAAATTTAAGTTTTGTAATTTACTTGCTGAAGGGCCCGGCGTTGCCCGTGGAATTAAAAAAAAAATTTGAAAAATTTTTTTTTTGATTTTTAGCCTATGTTAACCCCAGGGCACCCTTGCGTTCCATCATCAAATTTCAGCCCATTCGGTCCAACTGTTTGGCCGGCTATAGGGAACATATATAATAATGTCTTGTTTTATTATTTAGATTTTTGAATTCCAACCGATCAAAACAAAATTAGTAAAATGAATGTTAAAAAACATTTTGAACGGAATAATAATTTTGACGAAAAATCAAGAAAGGGCATCGAAAAATATGTTTGATAAGAATATTAAGTTTGGAAAAACCTAGAGATTCTTGGAAATGCCCGTTGCATTCAAGTAAAATTCGAATATGTTATTTTATTGAAAAATGTGCAGAAAATACACACGAAAATTTTTAACATTCAAAAGAAACCCGGATTTTCTAGAACAAGAACTCTTTTTTTTCTTGGAAAACTAAGAGTAAAAATGCGGGAAAGCTATTAATTTCAAAATTCGGGAAAATGCTGTCAAAAATTGAAGACTTACTTTGCGTTGAGTATCTCAGAGCTGCTAATATATTACGATTAAACCTTGGAACTAATACTGCACGTATGTGGGACATTTTTTACTGAAAATAAAAAAGTTAAAAACACAAATATTTAAACAAGAATGTTATCAGAATATATCACAAAGAACAATATTTATAAAAAAATCACAGAGGCTATCACAATCCAGAGATTATATTTTAATATTCATGAACCACCCCTTCTCTATGGAACAATCTTTTACTCTTGAAGTATTTTGTTGAAAAATCAGAACAACTCCCCTCCTCCCTAGAAATTCTATTCCCCAGTATCTTAAAACTAGGGAAATGGGACTAATAAAATAATAAGGGAAAAAACTTCTCAGTTGATATTTTGCTTAATCATTCCCTCCCAGCCTCCCTTGGGGGAGGAGGGATAACTGTTCAAAATAAACCCCCAGACCGAGTACCTCACTCCCCCACCTCCGCCGGGGTAGTTAAAGAACTGCTAAGCAACCCCCTCCTCCGCTGGCGTAGTTAAGACCGGCTACGCCACTCCCCCTCTCCACCGACGTAGTTGAATAACTGTTTCGCCACTCCCTCTCCTCTGCCGACGTAGTTAAAAACAGTCTACACAATGACCGGCAACCTAACTCCCTCACCTCCGCCGGGGTAATTAAAGAACTTCTACCGCTGGCGTAGTTAAAGACCGGCTACGCCACTCCCTCTCCGCCGGCGTAGTTGAATAACTGTTTCACAACTCCCTCTCCTCTGCCAACATAGTTAAAAACAATCAACACAACACCCCACCCTCGCCGCCAGTGTGGTTAAAGACCGGCAACGCCACTTCCCCTCTCCGACGGTGTCTTCTTAACGGACTTCTGCGCTGCCTTTAGTATTTTAGGATCCAGGTTAAACAGCTTATGCTTTCCAGACATAGGGAATTTTATCAACAGTTCCTAAAACATTGTCCTGGAAGCGTAATTTCAAGTGACCCTTCATGCAAAGCTGGCTTTGCCCAATTTACCACGGTATCCTTAAAAATGTTGTCTGATCAAGTTTATTTTGTTTATTTTGATTCGTGGTTTCTCTGCAAAAGTGACTTGCACATTTATTGCTTTTAAGAATCAATGGAGAAATTGACAGAAATAAACATTATTCGAGTCAGAGAAAATGACGTTATCTTCTACGTTATTAATCAGATTTAAGTTTTAAGGGTACCAAAAATCAGGCTTTGCTATCTTTGCATGAAGAATCACTTAAAATTATGCTTATAGTCCCTAAACAGGTTAACTTTACAAATTGATTTTAGTAAAAAAAGAGGTTTTTATAAATACAATTATGTCTTTAATGAACAATGTTTTCTATAAAACGTTTTTAAATTAAAAAAAATTTGTATTTAATCGAAAGAAATAAAAGCTATAAAAAAAATAACAGGATCTTTTGTTTAAATATTTGTTTTAAAGGAACGTGTAAATGAAATTCAATCTTTTCCCCCTAATTTTATACAGGGTAACCCCTAATTGTATTCAGGGTTACCCACTAATTGTATACAGGGTTACCCCCTAATTGTATACAGGGTAACCCCTAATTGTATACAGGGTTACCCACTAATTGTATACAGGGTTACCCCTTTAATTGTAAACAGGGTACCCACTAATTGTAAGCAGGGTTACCCACTAATTGTATACAGGGTTACCCCCTAATTGTAAACAGGGTTACCCCTAATTGTAAACAAGGTAACCCCACTAATTGTATACAGGGTTACCCACTAATTGTATACAGGGTTACCCCTCATTGTATACAGGGTTACCCCTAATTGTATACAGAGTTACCCCCTAATTGTATGCAGGGTTACCCACTAATTGTATACAGGGTTACCCAATAATTGTTTGCAGGGTTACCCTTTGCAGGGTTACCCAATAATTGTTTGCAGGGTTACCCACTAATTGTATGCAGGGTTACCCACTAATTGTATACAGGGTTACCCAATAATTGTTTGCAGGGTTACCCACTAATTGTATACAGGGTTACCCACTAATTGTATTCAGGGTTACCCACTAATTGTATACAGGGTTACCCAATAATTGTTTGCAGGGTTACCCACTAATTGTATACAGGGTTACCCACTAATTGTATACAGGGTTACCCACTAATTGTATACAAGGTTACCCACTAATTGTATACAAGGTTACCCACTAATTGTATACAGGGTTACCCACTAATTGTATACAAGGTTACCCACTAATTGTATACAAGGTTACCCCTTAATTGTATTCAGGGTTACCCACTAATTGTATACAGGGTTACCCAATATTTGTATACAGGGTTACCCACTAATTGTATACAGGGTTACCCACTAATTGGATACAGGGTTACCCATTAATTGTATACAGGGTTACCCACTAAGGATCTAACTTCAGAGACAACTGTACGAAATGGATCTAGTCTGTAAATACTAAATCTGCGAAATCATTATATATTCCATTTACGGACTAAATTCAAGGCAAAAGTCTCAGTTTATCATTGAGCTTTACGTCGTTTTTACAGTCGCCTTCTTTCTGGATAACCCCGTACTTTAAACATTTAGCTCAGCAACAGGCATATCACTCCTGTATGCCAAGTCCATTAGCGTCTGATCCAATCAGGGTTCAGTCATGTGTTTGTTGACTAGTCTGAACCAATAGAAATAGTATGGCGGTTAAATCTATCTTTCTATCTATCTCATCATCCAAATGGAAATATTTACTTCTACTGAAACTAAAGTGATATATAGAGTTGTGGACACCAGATCTGAGTTTGAGAATGTACGCTGAAGATCCCCCCCCCCTATGATTTTCGATGCTCTTTTGGGTAGAAATGAAATTACGGCATCAACTCTGGCAAGTTTCTGAACCATTTGCTATCTTTCTTTTCAAAAAACACGTATTTAACAATAAATTTATGTTCCACACTATAGCACATGAAACGTGAAAATATATCATATTTAACACCTGGAGAAAAAGAGTTATTTCAAGAGTCAGGGGGGGGGTATACCTGGGGGTTCTTGCAGATAAATACATATGGAGAAGTGGACTCGCCATCAGGATATACTTCCCTGAAATAAACAAATAATGAATGAATAATTGAATTTATAAATGAATAAATAATCAATGAATAAACAATGAATGAATGAAAAATTAACGAAAGGAAGGATGAATGAATGAAAGGATGAAAGGATGAATGAAAGGATGAATGAATGAAAGGATGAATAAATGAATGAATAAACCTATATTCCTCTTGTGAAAGAACATCAGTCACATCCACACAGCCAACCAAACAGGAAGTAGGATAGTGAGGAGGAAACTAAAGACAAAAATAAAAAAACTTCTTGAAGATATATATCTAAAATTGATCTATCTTCTTATATTTATCTTCTATTTTCTTACAAGGAGAGTCCTCTAGTGGGTATATTTTCTAACTATGGGAACCCCTAGCGGCAATATTCTCTAACTTGGAGAGTCACCTAGCGGGAATACTATATAACTAGAAGGACACCTCGCGGGAATATTGCTAACAAGGAGAGACACCTAGCGGGAATGTTACTACCTAGGAGACACCTAGCGGGAATATTGCTAATTAGGAGGACACCTAGCGGGCATATTGCTAACTAGGGAGAGACACCTAGCGGGAATATTGCTAACTAGGAGGACACCTAGCGGGAATATTGATAACTAGGAGAGACACCTAGCGGGAATATTGCTAACTAGGAGGACACCTAGCGGGAATATTGCTAACTAGGAGAGACACCTAGCGGGAATATTGCTAACTAGGAGGACATCTAGCGGGAATATTGCTAACTAGGAGAGACACCTAGCGGGAATACTTTCTAACTAGGCGCGATACCATCGGGAATATTTCTTACACGGCCAGCTTATAGGTCTGCTTCTATCTACTGATCTAAACTATTCTGGGACAGCGTACATGTAATTTTGTAGGTGTGCTTCCCAGCTTTTGTAACAAAGTGGACCCTGGTTTTTTTTTGCGAAAATGTATAAATCTCTGAATGGTGTACTTAAGGTTTCACTCTGACAAATATTCATTATGGCTATCGTTCGTTTTACAAAAAGAATTTGTTCTTTTATAAAAGTTAAGTTCAGGGTTCAAATCAAAGAAGAACTTTGGTAGATAGTGGGCCCTGGAGTAAGCAGAAATGAGATACTGTAGCTAAAATCTTGTAATCTTAACATTGCCTCCCAAGAGTTGGGTAGCATAAGATGCGCCTTGTTTAGAGATTTCCAAAATGTGGTCTGCCGTTTTTGTTCCTTAAGAATTGGCTGAGATATTGAGCAATTTGTCTTAAAATTCAAAATATTAAATATAACAAAGGATGTTTAAGTTTAATATATCAGACAATGTTTATGATAGTAAATCTTACTAAATTCTAACTAAAAGAGACACCTAGCGGGAATATTTTTAACTAGAAGAGAAACCTAGCGGGAATATGCCTAACAAGGAGCGACACTTAGCGGGAATATTTCTAACTAACCTGGTAAGGTTGAATGTTTGAGTGTACTCTATAGAAGTTCTGCAGTTGATCAACTTCCGGCTGGGTGGGTACTTTACCAGCTGCATGGATCCAGAGACGACCACGATGATTAGAATACCAAGTTCGACCTAGTTTATTAGTTTTCTTATTAGATATTTTCTACCTCTGTTAAAGGCATAATGTAAGCATAATTTAAAGGGACCCTCAATCCAAAGATAGCAATGCTCGATTTACAATGGTACCCTAAAAAGTTTTTTTGATCAAGTATGAATTAGATATTCATCTTTTTGTTTATTTAAACTGTTCATTTTCATTTATTGGTTCTCTGAAAAAGAGACTTGCGCATTTCTTCCTTATAAGAAACAAAGAAGATGTGTGATGCATTTTATGTCATGATAAGTTGCAGACTAATTGACTTCACTTTCCTTTATGACTTCAAATGGTTTGCATTTTATGTCATGGTGACGTCCTAGTGACTTTAAAAGACGTTTCCTGGTTACGAGGGTAGTTAAACAAATCGGTGAGAAAAAACAATCGCAAGAAATATTCTACCTTCATGTAGTTTGACTCCAATAACAAGTAGGCTGGCCCAGGGCTGATGCATGGATAAACAGGTCCCTTGGTCTGTTATCTCCTGCAGGGCACCATCCTGTATATAATATTAGTTGGTTGATTGATTTATTGGTATGTTATCTCCTGCAGGGCACCATCCTGTATATAATATTAGTTGGTTGATTGATTTATTGGTCAGGGCACCATCCTGTATATAATACTAGTTGGTTGATTTATTTATTTCTTGGTTAATTACTTGGTTAATGAAATGATTAATTTCTTTGATGGTTTATTAGTTGATTGATTGATTGAATTGGTATCGAATCTGATTGAATCGGTTTGTGGATTTGTTCCTGACTTGTTTGTTGATGGGATTTTGATGAAAGGTTTAGCTGTTTTGATTTATTTATTGGTTGATAAAATGTACAGTTGATTAATTGATTGATTGATTATATGATTGCTAGGATGAATGGGTAAATGAATGATTGAATGTCTAGTTTATGAAAATATAAACTAATTGAAAGTTAGATTATTTCAACATACAATTGATTGACTATTCAATTGAATAAAAGTTTAATTGATTAATTTTTTATTTGATTAGATTAATATTCCATTGATTGAAAATTTATTTTAATACATGTACGATTGTTCGGTTGATTGATTGATTGATTGCTAATGTAGTCCTAGAATTTCACTGCAATCATTTTGTTAAGGATTTGGAAAAGTTAATCAAATTAAGAAAAATATATATTTCCAAAAGTGAGAACTTTTTATTGTAAATCTCGGAAAAAAGCATACGTCTCCATAGTATGCAGACGTGCGGATTAATTAAAATCCTCTCTGATATCCCGCCGTGGTCAAACCCTGCAGAGATCAAACATGTAAGTTATAAAAGATCCGACATTGATATCAAGATAATGCTTTCAAGATTAACGATTCTTCACACAAAGTTTCGTTCTCTGGGAAAAAAATGTATCCCTGCAATTATATGAATTCATGATGATAAAACGTCGCGTAAAAATAAAAATCCTACCTGAACCCTCCCCAGCAGCCGACTCATTTTCTCCGTTCTATGTTCCATCCGTCCCTTTAATATTAACTTTAAAGGGACTGTCCAACAAAATCTTAGTTTAAAGGGACTGATAAACTAATTCTTAGTTTTAAAGGGGTTGTCCAACTTATTTTAGTTTTAAAGGGACTGCTCAACTTATTCTTAGTTTTAAAGGAACTTATTCTTAGTTATAAAGGGATTGTCCAACTTATTTTTAGTTTTAGAGGGATTGTCCAAATAATTCTTAGTTTTAAAGGGACTATCCAACTTAATCTTAGTTTTAAAGGGACAGAACAAATAATTCTTAGTTTTAAAGGGACTGTCCAACTTATTCTTAGCTTTAAAGGGACTGTCAAACTTATTCTTAGTTTTAAAGGGATTGTCCAACTTATTCTTAGTTTTAAAGGGATTGTCCAACTTATTCTTAGTTATAAAATTATTTAAAAAATAAAAATTTAAAAATAAAATAAATATTAAAAATTTAATAATTTGATTAAAAAAAACAAAAATTATCATAATCATTGAAAATTCACCTCATAATTTAGAGTATCATCATAAACCGGTCTTGCCTCCATATTGGGATTTAGAACGCTTCCCACTCCCTCCTAATTTATTTACATATTTTATTTATGTTTAGGTATATATAAATGTATTGTATATAAATGTATTTAAATGTGAATCAATGTATATAAATGTGAATCAATGTATATAAATGTGTCTTAATGTATATCAATGTATATCAATGTATATCAATTTATATTGTATATCAATGTATATCAATGTATATCAATGTATATCAATGTATATTGTATATCAATGTATATCAATGTATATTGTATATTGTATATCAATGTATATCAATGAAAATCAATGTATATTTATATCAATGTATATCAATGGTATATTGTATATCAATGCATATCAATGTATATCAATGTATATCCATGTATATCAATGTATATCAATGTATATTGTATATCAATGTATATCAATGTATATCAATGTATATCAATGTATATTGTATATCAATGTATATATCAGTGTATATCAAAGTACATTGTATATTGTATATCAATGTATATTAAATATCAATGTATATACCAGTGTATATCAAAGTACATTGTATATCAATGTATTGTATATTGTCTATCAATGTATATCAATGTATATCAATGTATATCAATGTATATTAATGTATAACAATGTATATCAATGTATATCAATGTAAATTGTATATCAATGTGTATCAATGAATGTCAATGTATATCAATGTATATCAATGTATATCAATGTATATCAATGTATATTGTATATCAATGTATATATCAGTGTATATCAAAGTACATTGTATATTGTATATCAATGTATATTAAATATCAATGTATATACCAGTGTATATCAAAGTACATTGTATATCAATGTATTGTATATTGTCTATCAATGTATATATCAGTGTATATCAATGTATATCAATGTATATCAATGTATATCAATGTATATCAATGTATATCAATGTATATCAATGTATAACAATTTTGGAAGAAATTCGTAAGTAACACTTAAAGGTACCCTAATGAATAAGACATGCCACTCTATAAATTACAGGGTCACTTGCAATCCCGTCTTCAGAACCTTTAAATATTTGTTTTTCAAATTTAAGAAAAAATTATTTTACCTTTTCTCTTCTCTTGATTTCAGCTTCAACTGAAAACTGGTCGTTCTACAAAAATACATTTCGAGTTATTATTAGTATTCAGTGTAGGGGTGTATATTTTTGAGAATTACCCCCCCCCCGTGGGGAAGGGGGGTATTATTATTGAAGATCCGGGGAAAAAAAGCAACAAAATGCAAGTTTTTTCATCCTTTTTCCGGGGAAAAAAAATTATTTTCAAAAGAGAGGGGGAGAGGGGGAGAGGGGGGAGATTTTTCAAGAAAATATACGCCCCTGATCCAGATGTCGGAATCCGTTAATCTTTACACCGGTTCAACTCAAAGATTTTACTAGTATTATAAATCAAATTGCTAACAATTCAAAATTTTCGCAAATCAATTTAATAAAACAAGACATTTATATTTATGTTGCATATAGCAGGCCAAACGGCTGGACCGAATGGGCTGAATTTTTTTGTGGACACTGATGGGTGCCCGGGTGGTGTAATAGGCTAAAAATTCGTTTTTTAAATTGTTTTCCCCCCAATTTTTTTTCCCACGGGCCTTTCAGCTAGTGATAAATAATTTTATTTTATGTTCCGTTATGAACATGTGGGAAATGTAGTGTAAGAAATAGAACTGAAAAAATATTTATTTTAGAATTATAAATTATGTTTTTGTTTACCTTAAATAATTGCATCAAACGCTTATCCTCTTCAACGTTGTATTCAGGCACGCTGTCATCTAAACATTAGTTAACCTATTAGTACACATAAAGTACAATCACAGTACAAACACAGTACAAACACAGTACAAACACAGTAAAAACACAGTACAAACACAGTACAAACACAACACAAAGTATAAACAAAGTACAAACACAGTACAAACACAGTACAAACACAGTACAAACACAGTACAAACACAGTACAAACACCGTACAAACAAAGTACAAAGACAGTACGAACGAAGTACAAACACAGTACAAAGTACAAACACAGTACAAAGACAGTACAAACAAAGTACAAAGACAGTACGAACGAAGTACAAACACAGTACAAAGTACAAACACAGTACAAACACAGTACAAACAAAGTACAAAGAGCTTTAACCCATAAGTAGCCTCCTTGTTTAAGATTTTAAAGAGACTGTAAGCGTAATTTCAAATGACCCTCCAGGCAAAGATGACAATGCCTGATTTTCAACTGGTGCCCTTGAAAGCCTTATCTGGTCAAATATGATTACGATATCCATGCTTTTTTATACTGAAACCGTCTATTTACACTTGTGGTTTCTCTAAGAGCGCTTTCTGGCTTAAAATAAATAATGGTGGAGATGTTCAGAATGAAAACTTTTCTAGTGAGAGAAACAATGATATCTTCAACATTCTTTGATCAAGTAAAGGTTTTCAAGAGTATTGTTGTGAGGGATCATTTAAAATTACACTTTCAGTTCCTTTAACCCAATATTACCATTCAATATTCTTTGTTTGTCGACATTTTTTAATTTTTATTGATAACTTGATTTTTTACCTTCAACAACACGTCGCCCGGCGAAATCAAAGGTAATCCTTCGATCCAGCCTAGACCTGAAATATAAACAATATTNGAAGTACACGTTATTATTTAGCTGTCAGCGTAGTTCGTTGTTCAGGAGTTAACCACTAAATTAGAACTAATTAAAGAGAAGTACACGTTATTTCTTAGCTGTCAGCGTAGTTCGTTGTTCAGGAGTTAACCACTAAATTAGAACTAATTAAAGGGAAGTACACGTTATTATTTAGCTGTCAGCGTAGTTCGTTGTTCAGGAGTTAACCACTAGATTAGAATTAATTCAAGGGAAGTACAGGTTATTTCTTAGCTGTCAGCGCAGTTCGTTGTTCAGGAGTTAACCATTAAATTGAACTAATTAATGGGACTACACACGTTATTTCTTAGCTGCCAGCGCAGTTCTTTGTTCAGGAGTTAACCATTAAATTGAACTAATTAATGGGACTACACACGTTATTTCTAAAGAACTTCCATTTAAGATTCACATCCTTCATTTGTTTATGAATGTAATCATTAAGAAAATATCAAAAATTCTGTCATTTTATTTCTTTTTCTCTATTGCATAAATCCGCAAAAGAATTAAAGGGTAATGTTATAAATTGACTATATGACACTCTAATAAATGAAGTGTCTACAAGTTCCCTCTAGTGAAAGTAGTAGTCCAACTAGATCTACTAAGATCAACTACTTCTCTAATGGACCATATTTAGATAACAAATTACTCCCTCCACCTGCCTCCAGCTTGCAGTTGACTTCAGAAATTAGATGCTAGGAATTTTAGAAAGACAATGACCAGAAAAAGTAACAAAAATATTTGTCAACTTATATCACCCCCCCCAGACCAACCCACCACAATCGAAAATCTCTACCCTTGAAAGTGACTCAACTAAGCGTACCTACAGGGTTACCCACAAAGGATGAGGCTGTAAAGACGACCCAAAACTCTAAGCTTGTTCTTGGAATCTGCATTCAATTGAGTATTTTGACGGTTTACTAAATGATTAAGCACAGAAATAATCCAATTTTGGCCTTCAAGGAAACCCTGAATACAAGAAAACGGACTAAACAAATTCCGTACAATCGTCTCTGAAGTCTCATCCTTAGCAAGTTAACCCTTTAGCTTACCTAGTTATATCACAATTCATCAATTTAAACCTTAAATTTTGCACTAAAACATTTGAAACAATAATCTAATAAATATGAAATATAATACCTTCTTGGAATCTATGTTAAAATAATCTAATATAAATATAATACCTTATTGGAATCTATGTTAAAATAATCTAATAAATATAAATATAATACCTTATTGGAATCTATGTTAAAATAATCTAATAAATATGAAATATAATACCTTATTGGAATCTATGTTAAAATAATCTACTAAATATGAAATATAATACCTTATTGGAATCTATGTTAAAATAATCTATTCTTCTGTTTAAATGCTTATCAATTTACCTAAGAGCTTATTTTTGCTTGCGAGTGCTTTCTCTAGTCCAGCCTCTAACTTCTTCTCATCCCTAAATTATTCATAAAAAAAAACACGGGAAACATATTAAAGGGACTGTAGGCGTGTATTCAAGTGATCCTTCATGCAAAGATTTTAATGTCCGATTTACAACTTAATCTCAAGCTGTTACAAAATTAAAAATTATTTTTTTGGGGGGAAAAATCCACTTGAAGGACAATTATTTTTTTCCAATGTTTTTTTTGGAATATCCTTCTACACAGAACTGGACTAACGACATGACATCTTCATGTATGTATGTATACCTGTACATAGCTCTGCTATCTCCTGCCAGCTTCATGTACAGTGTACACTATCTGTATACCTGTACATAGCTCTGCTATCTCCTGCCAGCTTCATGTACA